TTTTTTTTTTTTTTTTTTTTTTTTTTTTTTTTTTTTTTTTTTTTTTTTTTTTTTTTTTTTTTTTTTTTTAATAATTAAAATAGAAATTTGACTAAACATTTAAACGTTTAAAAAAAAATTATGAAAAAGTAATTATTAATTGGAAAATTTTAAAACTAGAAAGCATATATTATTTAATTCTTTTTTAATTTCATCCACCACTATAAAATAATATTAAATCATTACTAATTAAACAATTAATTCTGAATTAATTTAAACATATATACTTTTTTGAAAAGTAAAGTTTTGGAATTTGGTATTAAAGTAGATATCACAAAGTTATTTTTTAAAATAAAAAGTTTTTTAATTAGTTACAAATTTATAATTTTAAAATAAAGTTATACAATACGTACATTTTAATTATTGAATTTTTCTGTTTCACGAGATAAACTAGAGGTTTAGTTGAAGATACTAGTATAGTCTTCGAGCGTAGAAAAAGAAAACTTCATGAAAAACCAATTAGCTAAGACATACTGTACTGTAGACTAATAACCTAATAACCTACTTGTCTCGAGCTACTTCTATGAGTGAAGATTATCTGCATAGACCAATCGTGTAACAACCCATGTCCACTGTTGTGGTTATTGTCCTTTTTAGACTTTCCCTTCCCGACTTCTCCGCAAGGTTTTTAAAATGAGTAGAGAGAGATTTCCACACCCTTATAAAGAATATTTTGTTCTCCTCCCAACCAACGTGGGATCTCACAATCCACCACCCTTCGATACCCAGCATCCTAGTTGTCACTTGTTCCCTTCTCCAATTGATGTAGGACGCCCCCGATCCACTCCCTTCCAAGGCCAGTGTCCCTGCTTTATAAGGGTGTAGAAACCTCTCCCTAGTAGACGCGTTTTAAAAACTTTGAGGTAAAGTCCGAAAGAGAAAGCTCAAAGAGGAAAATATCTTCTAGCCGTGGACTTGGGTTGTAACAAACACGAGTCCTTTTAGATAGAAAACAAAATTCAGAAGGTCACCCACGTTTTCCTAAGATTGAATCATTGGAAAAGAAGATTCATCTTATTGATATAGATAGTAACTACCAATTTTTCTAAGCTTTTCGTATCCATAATTCTATATTCTCGAGATGATTCTCATTCAAACATAGTAACAGCTTCATCATGTGTCGGTCGTAATTTGTACAATTTTGGCAAAAAAACATCAAACCCAACTTGTTTTGATCACTAAATATTCCCTCTATTACTTTTGTTATTTGTAGGTCCCTAAACAAATACGATACGAACCTCTTTCACTTTCTTTACGAGCCCACTTGATGAACAAACGTGGGCAATGTGTTAAACACACCACATGAGAGTTGGTGTTGGACACTCTTTTGTTGCCCATTACCCACAATCTTCCTCGTGTACTCCTTGTGCCCTAAAACCTCACCTTTTTCGCTCTCTCCCTATTTAAACCCCTTCTCCCCCGTCCTCTACTCGTAACTCAATCGAAACTCTTAAACCTCTCTTTTGAATTAGCTTGCAAGGGTATTTTTGTCAATTTGAATGATTAAAAGTATGTTTCGAGTAACTTTATCTATTTCAAAATCATTCTCGAAACATATCCTAAAGTCAACCTAAGATGACATACACAAACGAACGTCTAAACATTATCTTAGCTTTATTGAGATGTAGAAGATATGAATATTATCCTCGCACGTTAGGTTATAGAATGAAGAAGGATACGTTATATTTAAAGGAAAGACAATATTTCTCTTCAATACGAGTTCTTTAAAATGAAAAAAAAAAATTCGAGTGAGCTTAAGTATAAAATCGAGTACAAATAAGACACTATTTGTTAGTGATGCGCTTGAGTCGTTGCATTAACCAAATTAGCATACAATCAAGATGTTAGGGACAATGAACTCTCTACATAAATTTTCACAAAAGTACGATATTGTCCTATTCGAGCTTTCCTTTTTAGTTTTCCCTCAAAGTTTTTAAAACATGTTCGCGTTCTCGTTGGCACTCATTCCTCTCTTTGATCGCTGTGGAATCTCATAATCCAATCCCTTCGGGGCCAGCGTCCTCGCTAGCACACCACTCCGAGTCTAGCTATGATAACATTTGTAACAGCTCAAGCCCACCGCTAGCATATATTTTTCTCTTAGGGACAGGTTTCTGTGATGTCCCACATTGGTTGGGGAAGAGAACAAACCACTATTTACAAGGGTGTAGAAACCTTCCCCTAGCAGATGCGTTTTAACCCTTGAGGGGAAGCTCGAAAGGGAATGCCAAAAGAGAACAATATCTGCTAGCGGTGGATCTGGGTCGTTACAAATGGTATCAGAGCCAGGTTTTGGACGATGTGTTAGCCTTCTCGCTGTTCCCCGAAGGGGGTAGACACGAGACGGTGTGCCAGTAAGGACACTGGCCCCAAAGGGGGTGGATTCTTCCCCTAGCAGACGCGTTTTAAAGTGTCCCACATTTGTTGGGGAGGAGAACAAACCACCATTTCTAAGGTTATAAGGGTGTGGAAACCTTCCCCTAGCAGACGCGTTTTAAAGTGTCCCACATTTGTTGGGGAGGAGAACAAACCACCATTTCTAAGGTTATAACAAAGAGAGGGAATGTCCAAAGAGGACGGTGGATCTGGGCCGTTACATTTTCACACCCTTATAAACAATGTTTCATTCCACTCTCCAGCCGTTTTGGGTCCCAGCATCTTCCTGACACTCATTCTCCTCTCCAATCGATGTAAAATCTCACACAACAACACTCCTAACTTCGTTTTCTTACCTCAACAATGATCACATAATTTGGGTAAAAGAAAGCATCCAACCACCTTCCTTTTGAAGCTCCCTTCAAAAAATATGCTACGAATCTCTTTCTCCATGTCTCTTTATGAGCCCACTTGATGAACAAACGTGGGCACTGCGTTAAACACACATTTTTCTATGCCTTGTTCATTCAAAAAGTGCCAAATCCACATGAGAGTTGGTGTTGGACACTCTTTGTTGCCCATTACCCACAATCTTCCTCGTGTATTCCTTGTGCCCTAAAGCCTCACCTTTTCCACTTTCTCCCTATTTAAACCCCTTCTCTCTACTCGTAACTCAATCGAAACTCTTAAACCTCTCTCGCTCTCTCTCAACATGGCTCTCGTTTCTAAGTCTATTGCTTCGATGATGAAGAACAATTTGTTTGGAGATGACAAGCACCATAGAGAATTTACTGCTTTAGCACCTGTCGTAGAACAAGAAGGAGATGACGACGATGATGATGGAGGTTATGATTACGCTCCAGCTGCATAACCCTAATTGTCAAATTTCTGAGTATTATGATATAATCATTAGAAGAGTTTTTCTTTTGGGGATATGAGATATCTAGAGATAAAGCCGTGTGTAAGTTGAAGTAACTAAACGATGCATATGTTTGTTCATATATATCGGTAGTTTATACGTCATTTCATGCTCTCAAGAGTCTCGGATCCATGTCACATGCTTCGTGATGAGCTTTCTATAGATGAACACAACTCAACTCAATCATAAAATATTTGAATTTTAGCCGGGGACAATTGAAATTGAAATTTTTGTTTTGAATAAAAATAAAATGTTTATACGTACCTTTATTCATTTATTTGAAACATGGGATTAAGAGTTAATATTCGAAAGATAATTATGAAATTAAATAAAATTAAAATAAATATACGTATACGTGAGATCCCATATCTGTTAGAGAGTGTGGAAACGTCTCTCTGACTGACGCGTGGAAACCTCTCCATAACAAACACGTTTTGAAACCGTGAGATTGACGACGATACGTAACGGGTTAAAGAATTTAGGGAAATCCACGAACCAAATCAACCCATAAACTTTTCATTTATTTGAACTCAGCTTAACTTACATAAGTTTAGCTTAGGGGTCGTGCAAGATGAAAGTCTCGTACACGGCTTTGAATGAGAGAAAGAAGTGAGGAATCCTCTTTTCGACTCTCTCGCTCCAATAGTTGCTTTTCTTTCTGTTACTTCAAAGTAGCTGCTTTAGCTTCAGCTACTCGAATTTTCGATATTCCTTCTTATTTCTCATCGAACGAATGACGTTTTCTTCTAAAAATTCTAGCTATTCTTAGCATGATATTCGAGAATCTCATTACTATTACTCAAACAAGCACGAAACGAATACTTGCATATGCGTCCATCGGTCAAATCAAATAACTCAACCCAAACTGTATTAGTTGGGTTCATTGAATAGGTTCATGAGTAGCCGGGTTCTTGAGTTCTCGTTACTATTACTCAAACAAGCACGAAACGAATACTTGCATATGCGTCCATAGGACAAATCAAATAATTCAACCCAAACTGTATTAGTTGGGTTCAATGAATAGGATCATGAGTAGCTGGGTTCTTGAGTAGCCAGATCTCATGTGTGTATATATATATTTAATTTTTTTAAAATGATAAATAAATGGTTAAATTGTAAATTTAATTTTAAAATTTTGGAATTTATGTTTCTTTAATTATTAAATTATAAAAAAATGTATAATAAGTTCAAAAATAAATTAATTTGAATTTTATGTTTTGTAAAAAGTTGAGAGAAAAGAATAAAATTGGAAAATTATATTAAATTTGCAATTCTAGAAATAGACTCCATACGACGTCGTTACATGTGAGATATTTCCCACGAGGTAATGGGCTCTACATGGGCCTCATTCTGTCATCTCCACCATCCCCATTGATTTCTCCTCTGAGAGCAGTTCCCTGTAATTTCCCCATCTCTCTGTCTCTGTAATTCATTCAAATAAAGATCAGATCCCTCTCTCTCGAGCCTGAGACACTCGGCTCCACACCCATTTGGCTTTCTCCGTGTTCATTGGGTCTTTGGATTTTTCTGATTCCGCTGTAATATCATTGGCGCATCTGTACGATTACAAAATTTCCATCCATTCTTGTTCCAGATCCGTGCTACCAAATTTTGTCGGTAATCCGAACCTCCTCTTCTCACCATTTACCATTTACTTTGAATTTGTCGAGAATTCCCTTTGGTTTATCTGGATTTTCATGTATTCGAGGATCTGGATAAGTATCTCCGATTCTGTGCTTTGATTTCTCTTTCGCTCTTGATCCGTATGCCATATCTCCAATTGTTCTTGAGTTAGCGAAGTTTGGGCGTTGATTTTCGTTGAGTATATACTAGAACAATGTCTTCCATTCGATTGGATTCGAAACAGTACTTCACAACCAGCGGCCTTGTGATTGGTTATGCGCTTTGTTCGAGCTTGCTTGCTGTGATAAACAAGTTCGCCATTACGAAATTTAACTATCCTGGACTTTTGACGGCTCTGCAGTATCTAACCTCTGCTGTTGGAGTTTGGGTTTTAGGGAAACTTGGGTTTTTGCATCATGATCCCTTTATATATGCAACTGCTAAGAAGTTTTTGCCTGCCGCGTTTGTGTTCTATCTAGCAATCTTTACCAACACAAATCTTCTTCGTCATGCTAATGTGGATACCTTCATAGTGTTCAGATCCTGCACTCCCCTTTTAGTTGCCATTGCTGATACCGCGTTTAGACACCAACCCTGTCCATCTAAACTCACGTTTGGATCGCTGCTGATCATTTTGGGTGGAGCTGTTGGGTATGTAGCTACAGATTCTGCATTTACTTTGACTGCTTATTCATGGGCGTTTGCTTATTTGGTGACAATTACTACTGAGATGGTTTACATCAAACATATGGTTACAAATCTTGGACTGAACACATGGGGTTTTGTGCTTTACAATAATCTAATTTCCTTGATCTTGGCTCCTGCGTTCTGGTTCATCACTGGAGAGTATGTTGATGTTTTCTCTGCCTTAGGTTCAAGTAAAGGAGATTGGTTTCAATATGATGCATTTTATGCAGTATCCTTATCTTGTGTATTTGGTTTCCTCATAAGCTTCTTTGGTTTTGCGGCACGAAAGGCGATTTCAGCGACTGCCTTCACGGTTACTGGTGTCGTTAATAAGTTCTTAACAGTTGCTATCAATGTCGTTATTTGGGATAAGCACGCGAATCCATTTGGTTTGGTCTGCCTCCTTTTCACAATTTCAGGGGGTGTTCTCTATCAGCAATCGGTTTCTGGAGTTGGCAGTGCCCCGTCGACCGCGGATAAGCCTACAGGAAACGATAATGATCCCGAGGACAATCGTGGCAAGCCTGGTAAACTTTCCTCCGTATGAAGTTTTTCTTGGAACTTAGATTTTTGGCTACTTATGATAAAAAGTAGGCTATTTGGAACCTATATGAACTTAGGTATTGGATATTTCTTTTTGATCTTATTATTGATGAAGTATTTTTCATGGGATGTCATTCACACATGCTAGTTTTTAAGGATTTTATATGTATACTACTCTACTACTCTTCTGATTTTTAATGAAAGGGTTTTATGCATTTAGCTCAGGGATTCATTTGACATAAACATTGTAGCTTGTTATTAGTAGTATCTTTTTTAATCCTTGAAACTGAGAACCTCTGAGACATGGACTAGATATTATCGTGTATACCCTCGAAACGTAGCTAATTTCGATGGTCTGGCTGGTTAGGAGTCTCTGAAAGGCTATATAAACCTTTACCTTCAAGTTGTTTCTTCAAGTTTGCTCTGGCTAATGAATTAAGAGCCATTTTGCCTTTCCTTTCGTGTAGACCTGAGTCGAGAGTTACGTTCCAAGACTATTCGGGTAGGGATTGATCATCCTAGTTGTGGAGTGTTTGAATTTTGATCTAAGAGCAAGGACTTTGATCTTAAGACAGTCTGTTTCTAAATTCAACCTTATGGTTTGTCTCAAACTGAGTATACTCTAATTCTATATTAGGGAGTTCATATCAAGATATCACCAGAAATCTCCACATGAACAACTCCCATCCTTGTGGGCTCGAATAATTACTTCTCTTTTATAAACCTTTGAGATGATCTTAGTAGCAGTGTGTAGCCCAAGCCTACCGCTAGTAGATATTGTCCATTTGGCGATGTGCTAGCGAGGAGGCTTAGCCTCGAAGGGGGTGGACATGAGGCGGTGTGCCAGCAAAGACGCTGGACTCCAAAGGGAGGTGGATTGTGAGATTTCCCATCCCACTCTTCTGCATCTCATTGAGATACTTCAAAGCCTTCTCTCTCAAGCCAAGGAAAGGATCATTGCAGTCCAAGGCATAACATCTTTCTCAAGAAGTTCTTTGAAAACCTATGCCGCACTCTCTATGCTCCCACATTTAGCATACATGTCAACGAGTGCCGTACCTAATGCCACACCCAAATGGCTGCAAGCAATCAATAAACTAACCATTGTCACCTTTCGTGTTTGACCCCCACGAAATAGCAGGAATGCTTCTGTAACAGTTCAAACCTATCGCTAACAGATATTGTCCTCTTTCGAATTTCTCTTAAGTTTTTCCTCAAGATTTTTAAAGTTAGGGAGAAGTTTTTACCCCTTATAAAGTTATCACAGCCTCTTTGTAATTGCTATTATGGACATGTCCATTAATTATGATATTCCAATAGAACAAGTTCTTTTGAGGCATCTTATCGAATAGTTCTCTAGCAATGGAAACCGAGTCACACTTAGAGTAATCTTCAGTAGTGTTGTCATCAACACGCTATGATAGCCATGGTCATCGCCATCAATGTTCTTGTGCACGGTTTCCAAATCCCTTGCCATGGCACAAGCAGTCAAGACGCGAATCAAAGCAACCTCATTGGCTTTCACGTTCTCAAGTTCCATCCATCTCAAAAGGTTCAATGGCCTTCTCTGCTTGATCTCAACCATGGTTGCCCAAGAAACCACATTTCTGTCTTGCATTTTGTCGAACACTTTCTGAGCTGAAACCGAACACCCACAACTCGAGTACACATATACATATATATATTATATATATATATATCGAAGCGTTCTGAATATAAGAATATGAAGCAAACCCAAGCTTTGTCGAAGCATTATGATGTTAACATTTATTTTATTTTAAAGGATATCGTGAAAATCAACTTCTACATTGTTGTTAGGTTAATTATATGAGTGATGTCATGTATGCCTTTCAATTTTTACGTCTATATCTCATTTTACTTAAAAACTTCTCTAAGGGCTCTTTGGAGAAAATTTTCAAAATTCAACCGTAAAAGTTAATATTCCGAAACATAGGGGTAGAGTTGTAGTTTATCTCAAAGTTTAGTAGTATTTTATATTATTTAACTTATATTATAGTACGGTTTAGTTTTAAGATTTTCTAAAAAAATTTCATATTTGTGTTTAAAATGTTCTAAAATTGTAAGTTTGGTCTGAAATTGAAATTAAGATTAAAATATAGGGATCAATTTAATCCGTAAAACTTTAATATTTACTTCATTGTGTGCTCTAAACTTTCAGACAATATTACATTAATACTTTTAGTTCTATGTTGCAGTTGTCACTCGGAGATATAAAGCAAAAGGAATGCCTTAGTTCGTCTACTTTCAAATATTGTGTTTCAGTTATTAAATTTTTTGTCGGAAATTATTTTAGTATTTGAGCAAACCTCGATTAATTGCATGTCAATTTTTTTAATTAAATTATAAAAATTAACGATAATAATTATATAAATGGATTCAAAACAAAAATGAGAATTTCAACGCTATTATTACTATTTCTTTATGGGGTTTGATTTTATTATATGTTTCTCTCGAATGTTCTCATTTAATAACTCTATAAAATTTTAAATGTAAATTAATAAGTATACGAACTAAAATTTTCATTTATGATAAATAAATATTTAATTTATTAGAGACTTTGAAATATAAAAATAAAACGTAAAGTTTGGGACATATTGGACAAATATTTAAAAGTTTGTGGCCCGAAGTTGTAATTAACAACAAAAATAATACCATTTAAGCAAATTATTAATTATTTGGGTCAGTAAAGAAACTAGTTCGAGACGTCCAAGACTTAAACTAAGCAACTATATCAGGGACTTACTATGAAAATTATGAAAATATATGGGTCTATTAAATATTTTTAAAATTTGAGGGACTAAATACGAATATATATATATATATATATATATATATAAAAGTAGGAAGTGACGATGTGTCGTTAGGTTTGGCACTTACTTCCGACATGTCGGTGAATGGTTCCTACAAACGAGCAATTGTGGAGTCCAATCGTGTTCTTCCCCACTTTCTTCATTTCCCTGAGATTGGATTTTCGCGGTGGTCATGACGGTGGACGACGATAGCTCGATATACGTCGGTGGCCTTCCTTATGACGCAACCGAGGATAGCTTGCGCAGAATCTTCGATTTGTACGGGGCCGTCGTCGCTGTTAAGGTTAATTCCTCCACCAACCGTGTTCGCTGTTTCCATCTTCTTGTGTGACGATTATTCTTGTACGACTGTAGATAATGGCGTTGTTGCTTCTTGTATACTTCAGAATTATGCAGCTGTTTAGGTCTTTCTGATGGAATATTTAATGTTTGGATATAAGTTTGTGAGTGGTTTTCTTGTCTTTCTTTTTTTTTCTTTTCAAGGCTTCTTCAAGTTCAGAGAGTAATTCAAACCAAAATTTCTGGCTTATGACGTTTTTTTAGGAGTTAAGTAGGTTTCTTGGAGAATAAAGCATGCCTTCTAAAAATGTATGAACTGTTTATACCTGGTCTGAGTTATGACATGGTGGAAAAAACTGGATTTGTGGTGAAGATTCCTTGCTATTGTGAAGATTTTCAGTTGTTAGTTTACTTTTGTTTCAGTAAAATGCTTCCATGATTTGTGTCTGCTATGTATTTGCTAAAATGCTTCAGTTAGGCATGTCGAACTTTTATGTGTTTGAATGGCTTTGTTTCATGTGTTTTCCATTCAAAATGTAATTCTAGTTGGACACTTTGATCTTGTCATCAGATTATCAATGATCGTAGTACTAGAGGAAAGTGCTATGGGTTTGTTACCTTTACAAACCCTCGATCTGCTATTGATGCCATCAAAGACATGGATGGAAGGGTATGTTAATTTATAGCTGGAAGCGAATCTTTTAAGTGTTGGTTGTTTATATATTTTTCATTTATGTTTTTTAGTATTGGCTCCTAACATTGTAAGGCTTTGAATTAGACTATTGAAGGGCGAGTTGTCAGAGTTAATGGAGTGAATACTAGAGGTGGTGGAAGGTTTGGTAGAGAAAGTAATCGGTTTGATGTAGAGAGAGATGTGAATTGGGAGAGGGATAGAGATCGAGGGAGGGATTATGAGCATGACAGATATCGTCGTAGAGGTAGAAATAATGACTGGTCTAGAGAGCGTGATCGGTCTCGAGAACATGATCTGGACAAGGAAAGAGTATATGAGCATTCACAAGATCGTGATCTACCAAAGGATATATTGTTAGATAGGAATCCTGAGTTGGAAAAAATTCCGAAGGCTAATGAGCAGGAACGTGATTTGAAGTTGAGCCATGGTCAAGATTGGGAAAAGGATCACGATGCAGATTGGAATGGAGGTGGAGGCATTGACAACACTGATGATTATGATAAAAGCCTTGGTAGTGATAGAGATCAACTCTCTAGGAGAGATAACGGGTGAGTCATCAAACTTATTGAAACCAATGTTAAGTTGTCTTATATAAATTTCTGCTTGTCTTTGATGGAGGAAGTGGAGTAACTTTTTGGCCATGATTATATGATTGCTATTATGGCTTCTGTTTTCAGTCTTGCGATTGAAGGTCGAACTGCTCGGGAACTTTCATCTGATTCTAGTGATGATTATATCCATGAAGTATGCTTAACATTTTTCACCTTTTAGATTTTCTCCTTTAAAAGATTACAACTGACTAGTAAGCATCTAATGAAACTTCTGCACCTATTGTTTGCATTGTAGTTAAAGGAACAACTGGAGATATCAACAGAAAGATTTGAAGAACTTAGAAAAGAGGTCTGTTTCTATGTATATTGTCCAAGAGGTCTGTTTCTATGGAAATGGTTGGCAAAATTTTCAGAGAAGTTATAATGTGGATTGACATAATTTAACGCTCTCAATCTCAGAATATATATACATATAGGTCCCAAACAAATATAAGACCCATGCTCGCGGAGAAACTAAGCCAATGTATTATATTTAGCTGCAGTTCATACTTCCATTTGAATCTAATTATAGTTTTGTGCAATGTTTTGTACTTGTTTTGGATCATTCTTTTAAATATCTTGATTGCACTTGAATTTAAAGCCTTGGAAGTTTTCCTTTTCAGATTTCTCAAATAGAGGAGAGGACTGGAGAGAAGGGTAAACTTGTGGTTGAGTTGCAAAAGAAAGCCAAGGTAAAAGGTTACCTTATAACTTGCAACCATGAGGCATTTGTTGTGTTCTCATTCTTATCCTGTCCTTCGAGCTTTATAACCGATATCCAGTTCATGCCTGACTGACTTGGATGCAGAAACTGGAAGATGCGTTGATCAGTGCAAAGAAACGCTCTTCATTCCGTCAGATGCAGCTGACCAAGGTAACTACCTGTTTAATATTTTACGTTGTCTAGAAACTATAACAGAAATGATGATTTTGGTTTTGTTATGCAATTAACTGCAGCTCCATAAAAGCTTTCTTTTAGTGAAGGATTATTCTGAGAGACTTAAAATCAGTGAACAAGAACTTCAGGTTTGTGTTTCAACATTAAAACACCTTCATTCTCTTCTCTTGAAGGCAATAGAAAAAATGTGCTCATGGATGAAATTGTTGGACAGGATTTTATTAGAAAAATTGTACTATGTTTCAATATTTTGTAGGGAATCTCATATGCTATTATATGATATGAATAGATCTATGTATATATATTTTATCTATATAGTTCTCAGAGATTTATCATATATTATATGTATGTAAGCATGCATAAACATTTCCTAAATCTCCCTTTTTGCTATTGCCTTAAGTTTGACCGTCTCTGTATCCGATTACTCGTCTCCAAGGATGCTTGTAATTCATTCTTTTCACATTGCCCATGAATGAATAAAACACCATTACCATTTGCTTACTTTACAGGCTCTAGTTGAATCAACTGCAATAGAAAGTGATGTTGGATGAATTATGAAGTTCCAGCTAATTGCAGTTCCAGTCATAAGCTGAAAAGGCTGCACTGGTCGGGGTAGTCGTCGTCTTCTGTTGATACTGATGACAAGTTGTGATGTAGAATTTGTTTGTAACTTAACTTCTCCCAAGATTAAGCTGTCCCTCTCTTTCATGGTACGTTCACAATCAACTATGAACATGTTTTTACTTGCCATTGGCATCTTCAGAGGTTCATTGCTTCACTGTTGTCAAGTTAGGTAGGTAAAGATATATGCTGAAAATTAATTCCAACTTCCAAATAGTTTTTCCAGCTTGCCTGAAGTTCCTTCCCATGAATGCAAATTTGAAGTTTAGGTTGTAATCCTTTTCTAAGAACATTATGACATATTTCAAACAGACTTCCGTATCGTTATATCATTAAATTTCTACCCCTCTTTATCTTTTACTTACAATTTAGCTCTCATCTGCATAGCAAACTTTGGTAAATTCTCCTTGGAAAGTGAATCCTGGACAGGATTTACTGCAAAAAGACATAACAGGATGCGAACTTCGGGTTCGAGACTGAAGCGGACAAGGATATGCTTTCGGTTTTGATTGGCATAATACGGTCGTGGAAGAAAAAGTGTCGAAATGCATCAAATGGTACACTTTAAAAGACATTATAGAATTTTATAGTGAAACATTTTTGTTGTGGAGGGTGGTGTACTATATTTGTTGTTGATGTTCATCTGTTAGTTTTAGAATCCCCTTTGTGGCCTTTTATCTTTGAAGCCTGACAGAAGATGAGATAAATAATGAAGTAAAAAGTAACAGAGAATGTGTGGGGATGGGAATGGTCCAAACAGGCCTTTCTCGTCAATAGCAAAACTTAAAGAGAGAAAAGTGAAAGCAAGGAGGCTAAGCCTAAGGTGGAAAGTTCTCTGCTTAAAAAGCTTCAGATTTGCTTAAACAAATGAGAGGCAAAGCTTAAGCAGCCACCCTATCCCATTTTCTCTTTTCCTTTTACCTTTGATTGCTTCATATAATCCTTGAACTTCATATAATGCTTATATTGATACTGCGTCGTGTTTTCTATAGAGATTTCAAATTTTGAGATTTGTATCTATTTGGTCCTTGAACTTTGATTGCTTCATATAAATCCTTTCAATGGTTCCATCTATCTTCCGAAGTAAAAGGATTTTTTCTTGTTTTTTTTTCCCTTTCTTTTTATTCATAGAGATTGATCCTGTGTCGTGTTTTATTGATATTGTGTTGTGTTTTCTATGGAGTTCTGTTACAGATTTAGTCTTCAAATTTTGAGATTTGTATCTATTTAGTCGATGAACTTTGATTTCTTCATATAATCCTTTTATTTAATGGTTTCATCTAGCTCCAGAAGTAAAAGGATTTTTTCTTGTTTTTTTTCCGTTCTTTATATTCATAGAAATTGATCCTGTGTTGTGTTTTATTGATATTGTGTCGTGTTTTCTATGGAGTTTTATTACAGATTTAGTCTTCGAACTTTGTGATCCGTATATATTTGGTCCTTCAACTTTCTAATGAACTTTTAAATATTTTATAATTCACAGATCTAACTGGCATAAAACTGAAAGTTCAAAGTTCCTTTAGATATTTTGCTAAATTTTTCAGAGATCTATTAGGCACGAGTGTGCTAAATTTTTCAGAAATCTATTAGGTACGAGTTTGCTAAATTTTTCAGAGATCTATTAGGTACGAGTTTGCTAAATTTTTCAGAGATCTATTAGGTACGAGTTTATTAGACGATTTATATATATACATAATTAGGTAAAAAGAAAACAAACATTCACTTTCTTTTTTCTTTTTTCTTTTTCCTTCTACCAAATGCAAATGAAAGTGGATCCATTTTTTTTCATTCCCGAGGAAGTGATTTCCTATTATATTAATTCCACTAAATATTATCAACAAATATTTATTTTTTTAATAATATTTATGAAATATAGTTTAGGGAAAATAAGTGAAGTTAGTAACAAACTTAATGTATAATGAGGCTTTAAATTAAATTTTCTTAAAGATAAAAGAAAAAGAAAAGCACAAAGATTTGGGCACTTTTTTATTTTTATATATATTATGCCCTCCTTAAATATCTTTTGGTTCAAAATTAATTAATTATAAATTAAAGTGACTTACATATATATTTTTTTAAATAATAATAATAATAATAATAACAAAGGTCTCTCTCTCTCTCTCTCTCTAATATATTCATATTTCTAACTCTTAAAATTAATTAGTCTAAACCCCCTAATCACATCTTAATTAATCGCTTAATTAGACTCAGAACTTGAGTGTGATTTCACGCCCATTGCTCTCGTCTCCGCCCTCTTGCCTTAGCGCCGCCAAGTTCCCCTTTCCCTCTCCGCCGCTCTCCACCTTCCAGCTGCCGCTCTCCGACTTTCCGCCGTCCTCTATGCTCTCTGACCGGTCGCCGTTGCCTCGTTCATCTGAATCTGGGGAGATTTGGGGCTGAGCGGTGGCGGCCTTGTACATTTGTAGCTGCTGGTGTAGCATGTGTTGGTGGTGAAGCTGGTGGTGTGGTAGCGGCGGATAGAAATCTTGGTGCACCGGCGGTCCACAGTAGGTTGTTGGGTGTGGTCCGTAGAGGGCTGGTGCTCCGCCATGCGCGGCGTAATCCGGTGGAACCCAGATGCCTCCTAAGACCACGAGCTGCGCCGCCGGAGCTCCAGCCGCTTGTGGGCTTGGACTGGGCCGTCTCGTATGCAGCCTGTATTTCTATGCGCATAAAAATAAATAAATAAATAAAAGCTTTTATTCTTTAGGTTAATTTCTTTCTTTTTGATCTAAACGAAAATTTTAAAACTATAATAAATCACAAAGTTCAATATTTTCGGATTTATTTCTTATTTTTGTTTAAAATTTTTAATGAGTTGAGTTATTGATCGAATTTAAAGAAAATATTAATATATTTCCATCATTAAGGTCTCGTTTGATAACTATTTTATTTATTTATTTTTTAAATTAAACTTATAAATATCATCTTTGTTTGTTATCTATTTTGTTTTATCGAATCCAACTAGGTTTCTAAACTTAATGATAAAAAAAAATGTGATTAAACAAGCACATATTTCATAAAAAGACAAAAAAAAAATCTAATAATTATTAAATAAGTCTTGAAAAAAGAATCTATTAAATCTAAAATTTAGTTGGACCAGAAGTTCAGTTTCACTTCTCTAAAGAAGACGGGATGCTAAAAATGAATAATCTAGTCTGTTTTGAAGCTCCAACCTATACCAGGTGCTTTGACTTAGCTTACTAAGAGTTGGTTCAAGACCGACCAAACAACCCCGAGACAAGAATAGTGAAAGAAAGATAAGAATAGGAGCGGGTTACCCGAAAAATAAAAAAATAGTATCTTGTTTGTTTCAAACAGAGAGAGAGATAAAAAAACCTGTAGATGGCTTTTGACCTCATCATTGGTCAACCCGTCGACCTTCATCAGCTCCCTGATTTGCTTTGGCGTGGCAACTATATATTAAAAAAAATAAGTAAAATATTGCCAATTAAATAGATGAAAATTAGTAATAAATTATATTTTAAAAATAAAGGGGGAAAAAAAAAACCCTTCTCATTTTCTTCCGCAATCAATCAAAATTCATAAAAAAAATCATTAATTTCCTCAAAAAGACACGAACTTGGCGTTCATTGGGACTTTAATTTCTTCCTAAAAAGAAGAGATTTCATATCCAAATTGAAAGAATAAAAAGCTCAAACCTTTGTCACTCACCTTGTGAACCACCAAGCGTTTGAAGAGCATTAACGAACCGCCGGTGCAAATCCGGCGACCAGTACCTTCTAGCTTTCCGGTGACTATTCTGAGTTGTAGAGTTGTTAGTAATGTTATTATTATTCGCATTATTACTTGTAATAACTTCTCCCTCGCCGCCCAAATTCACTTTCCCGGTGACCATACGACCATTTTCCGGCTGGCGGTGATCGGAATTACCACACTTATTTCCATCAAACTCTTGCCGATTACCGCCACCGGTGGCGGGGGCGGCGGCGAGGGCCAAATCGGGAAGCTGAGGAGGAGTAGAATTGTGGGTATTGCTCAAAATTGAATCTTTTGAGAAGGGAAGAAAAGCTCCACCATTATTGGAGTTTGTATGAAGCTTTTGGATGAATCCAATTTGATGGTCAATGGGTTGTTGTTGTTGTTTGGAAGAGGAAAGATTTGGTTTTGATTCATCATTTGTTGTTTGGCTCCAAAGTTGGGCTGACGTCATCCAGTTTGACCTATCAGAAATGTTTGATAGGGTTTGTGAGGGTTGTGAGGTTGACTGTTTGAGTGGAATGAACTCTTCAACAACTGGTTTTTCCCCATTTTGTTGATGGATTTTGCTTTTTACTCTCCATGCTTGTACCTGTTGTCTACAACTCTCCAAAGCTATAAAACCAAACCCAAAAAAAAACCTAATTCAGTTGAGGTGTTCGTTTAACTCTCGGGACCCATCTTGAACTCGATGGGTAATCCCCGTTTAAACAAAAAATAGGTAGAGAGAATCGAAATTAGAGATGTTCATTTAATTCCGAGGACCCATCTTGAACTAGATAGGGAATCCCCGTTTAGACTGAAAGTAGGCAGAGAGAATGAAAGTTAGATATGTTCATTTAACACACGGGACCCATCTTGAACTGGATGAAGAATCCCCGTTTAAACGGAAAATAAGCAGAGAGAATCAAAACTAGAGATATTCATTTAACTCACGGGACTAATCTTGAACTAGATGGAGAATCTCCGTTTAAACGAAAAATAGGCAAAGAGAATCAAAACTAGAGATGTTCTTTTAACTCACAGGACTCATCTTGAACGGGATGGAGAATCTCCGTTTAAACGAAAAATAGGCAAAAAAAAATCAAAACTAGAGATGTTCATTTAACTCACGGAACCCATCTTGAACTGGATGGAGAATCTCGGTTTAAACAAAAAATAGGCAAAGAGAATCAAAACTAGAGATGTTCTTTTAACTCACAAGACTCATCCTGAACTGGATAGAGAATCTCCATTTAAACGAAAAATAGGCAGAGAGAATCAAAACTAGAGATGTTTATTTAACTCACGGGACTCATCTTGAACTGGACGAGGAATCCCCGTTTAAATGGATAACAGGTAGAGAGAATCAAAACTAGAGATATTCATTTAACTCACGGAACCCATCTTGAAATGGATGAGGAATCTCCGTTTAAACCGAAAATAGGTCGATAATAGGAAAAGATTTCTCCATGTTATCTAAACGAAGCTCGAGAGAAGATAAGATTATATAATATTATATTTTTGTTTACGAAATATTATTGAATTCACTATGATATCTAACATTATTCAATAAAAATTATATTAAAAATGATAATTATCCATTAAAGAATTAGTGGGAACTAGATTCTCC